TATTTTTGGTCAATAATTGATATCACGATTATTAAATACGATTATTCATTGACTTTGAAAACATCCATTTATTGAACTTTAAAACAAATAATAATTTGAACAGTATCTTTTTAACTATTGATTACCCTGAACGTGTGATTCAACTGAAAAACCAATACAAAAATAATAAAATAAATGATACATTTAAATAAATAATATCAAAATAATAAATACCAATAAACAAGATCAACAAATATTTTGGAGCGCACTTCAACAAGTTACTAAACATATATAAATATGATAAATAAAAATAAATTAGATCAAATATGTTGCAGTGCACTGTCACAACCTAGCAAAGCAAAATAATTGTTTTTTTCGATTATGTTGTTTTCGTAATTGTGGCAAGCCAAAATCGTAATTGCGATTAAAATACGATTAATTGCACAGCCCTAGTGTACACAGTTATTCAACTAATAATGATGACAATGATAAACAGTACAAGGGTATGATTTCACAACACAACAACTTGTCTTAAGCGTTACTTACTGTACAGAGAGAGGCCGCAAACTGCAATGCATGTATATAAAGTTTTCAAAATGACCAAGAGGGGGTGCACAAAATGCTCTAAATTCACACTCCTGAATCTAGTGTAGCAACTGTGGAGACATCTGATACACCTGCTGGACAGCCAGGTTCACAAAGAGCAGGAAGTGGTGTGCCCACAAACTGTATGTCGTATGTTACTGTACACATTCATACATTCATCAGTGTTTGTGTGGAAGTCATAGTCTTAGTGAATTGTGTTGTTTGTTCTGTGTTTACAGGCCAGACGCACAGTTTGGAGCTCTTGAGGTCCTGATGCTGGACGATAACAAACTGTCCTCTGGAGTCTTCAACAGTCTGGCAAACCTTAAGAGGTCATGATGCGGTTGAAGTATTACTCGAGGCAGTCTCTAATGTCACAATGCGTAAACAAATCGTATAATTATCTTTTACAGACTGAAGTATCTAAACCTGCAGGGGAACCATATTTCTGAAATTACATTTTCGCAAATTGAGGGCTATTCCAGGCCTTTTCAGACTTCTGTTGAAGAGCAAACGGACAAAGAGGGTTTTGGTAAATGCTTGATGTCATTTATAAATAACCTAACAATGGATCTGCATAAAAAAAAAATCAAAAATCTCTTTATTCCTTGATCCAGGCCACACTGAGACAAATCCTAATGCTGCTGAAAGATCCAGCTTCCCACTACCTGAGCTTCAGTTTCTCAATTTGGCAAACAACAAGGTGTGTTGGATCAATTGTTCTAATATAGCAAATACAACCGCTTTTTAAAATCAGCTAACATGTCTCATCAGTGTTTCTTCATCAGATTTCGGAGGAGGAAGCGTTGATGGCGGTCGCTCTTTTCCCGATGCTTCGAGAAATTGACATTCAATCCAACCCTCTGACCACACAGAGGAGCGGTAAGGCTTCTCTCCTCCGGTAAGAGAATGTTTCGGAATATTCAATGTTAAAATTGGCTTTATGTCTTTCTTGGACACAGGAGATCCTCCCTTACTGACCTATTACCTCAAAGCGAAACTAGGGATTAGGATCAATCGCAAAAAGACCCAAGAGGCTTTGAAGCTCTCGCTGAAGGTGTCCACTGACCCTAAATGGAAGGTAACATCAGTTCTGCTTCGATTTTTGATTGTGACCAGCCAGATTTTCTTTTTACGAGAGTCACTTCATTTGGTGACATCTTTGCGTCACAGTTCATAGAAAGACCCCCCAAAGTGTTGAAGAAGCCCCTGTTGATGGAGGCACCCTGTCCCACCCAAACTCATGTGGAGAAAAGTGAGTCGACTGCAGAGAAAACACCAGAATCTGAGAGCGGGAATTGCAGAGACGACACCTTCCAAGAGAGCACAGAGCACTTCTTTGTTACTCAGGTATGTGCACGTCCAGTTTTTGTGTTTTTTTTTTAATGTTCTACCTCTCTGCAAATATGCTCTCAGAGTGTTATTTCATGTTCAGGCAACACAAGTTCCTGAATTTGAGTGTGATCTTCAAGCTGATGAAAAAGAGATTTCAGCAAACAAAGCCGATACCATTCCTGAAAGATTCTACGAAATGTTGATGGACACAAAACCGAGTCCCGATGCGGTGGAGCCTGTCGGTGAGGGCGGCACTTTCTCCTGCAGCTGTTTATTTTTGGACATTTTTCTAAAGCCTTTAAACGTTCGGCTTTACAATTCCCCCTTAGTTTAGGGGAATATTCATGTTTTCTTTCTTCTTTCAACAGGAATTCAAACAGCTGTTCGGATGCTGGAACACAAACTGAAGAATCTGAATGTTTACAGAGACTCAAAACCAAAACTTGATAGCATCCAGATGCCTTACAGCAAAAGAGAGAAAAGGGTCTCATATATTGCTTTCACCCTCAATATTAATGTCAAATTGAAGTAAAGGCAGCCAGGGCTATAAAGAATAATTGACGTTGTTATCGCCTTTGTGTCCTGACTTTTAAATCTGTTCGCAGATTAAGGAACTTCCGCCATTGAAGCCGATAAAGCAGCCAACTGAAAGGGTGGATAAACTGATCAAGGAAATGAAGGAGAGTACAACGATCAGAGAAGTCCCCTTAAGTACGCACATTTCTGATGCAGTGAATGTCCGCTAACTCTACATGTCATGACCTTTCTCTATATAACACTCTGTTCTCTGCAGGCAGGGCCATACAGGGCACCGGTGTTAACAAGCAGGAGCAAAAGGAAGCTCTGTCGCTGCTGAGGGACATTAAGACAAAGCACAAGATGGTCCATAGGAAAACAATGGAACGAGCAGCCAGCATAGAGTCCGATAGAAACACCAACCAAAACGGAGCTGAACCCCCACCTGTACAGATGCTCTAATACATATTCAACCCTCAGATTAACTGTGAATTTCTTTCTTCCTTTGATAACATTTCGTTGATGTTGACATGCAACTGGTGTGAATGGAATGGGTGAGAAAACCAACCTTGTGTGAAATTGTAAGTGCTTTTCATATCGCTTTGCCTTTATTAAGATTGATTGCTCATAGCAAAGATGAAACTGAGAAGCAGGATGGAAACAAATATTTTCTAAGTCTGATAACTGTCTTGTGTTTAGACAGGTTCATATTTGTATGTTGTTCCTCTACTGTGACATGTTTACATGCTTTAATGTTCAAAAAGCTCTTTATTTGTCTAGCCTCTACAGACCATGTACATGCACAAAAACCTTTATAACAGGAAAGGAGAACCCCAAAAAGCATAATGGAGCCTCTTTAAGTGGGAAAAAGGTTTTGAAGGAAAATTAAATGTTTCATCTGTGAAACAGATTGGGGAGAAATATGCCTTTTATGTGCCGTTTCATTTACTTAATTTATTAACACACGTAACAGCCAAAAGTAGATTTTCTTCAGCTGTTTACACATTAAAGTTACTCAGAAGAGCCATTCCTCCTGCTGTTATGTCATAAACCACAAATAGAAAACTATTCAGAGAAAATCCTGACACAGTTTTTCTCTAAAAACTATTTTAAAGAGAAAATGTATCAGGAGACTATTTATTTTGACTTGCCTTCCAGGTCTTGTGTATTTAATACTGTAGGCAAAAGTTTATTTTCAACAACAAACCTATTGTCTATAGCTAGCAAGGGATCCTTACTGTATGTAGAATCCTTTTGTTGGATCTGGCTGTGAACATCTGTATTGAGCGGGAACAAGAATATTTAGTTGTTTGTAATCCAAACAGACCCCCATCAGTTCAATATCTTTCAATATAAAATCTCTTATTAACCCTATGATTGAAAGGTCATGTGTGACATCTCCTGCGGGCTTACAATAAAAACGTCATTTATTTCTGGTCATCAATCAATCAATCAATGTTTATTTATATAGCCCAATATCACAAATGTTACATTTGTCTCAGTGGACTTCACAGTTTGTACAGAATATCAGTATGACAATACGACACCCTCTGTCCTTAGACCCTCACATCGTACAAGGAAACACTTCCAGAGAAAACCCACAGTTTAAAGGGGAACATGGGAGAAACCTCAGGGAGAGCAACAGAGGAGGGATCCCTCTCCCAGGACGGACAGACGTGCAATAGATGCCGTGTGTAAATTGAAAAGATAATACATTTGCAACATCCATGTCAAGTAGTCCATGTTCTGTTCGTTCCCCTTGTGACTTCAGCCTCCTCTTAAATATGATTTAAATCGTGCAGAGCAGCTTGCAGATGTGGAATGCAGCTTCAGCCCAATAAATCAATACGCACTCTGCAGATATTTCATGGGAATATACATGATCATATTCATGTCTGCTTGTTTTCCTGCTGCTGGTGAATATCATATATAATGCATAGCAGGGGCTTTGTTTACGCAGCCAGCAGATACTTTATGAAGGCTGTCAACCGGTGATATGGAATTTAAATTTTAAAGATTTGTTCTCCAAACATTTTAGCAATATCTTTTCTTTTCTGTTTGTATCTTCTCCTTTTAAAAGACTTCATGTTTCATCTGCATCAATTTCCAAATTATTTGCTTATCATTTTTCCAAATAACCAACCAGATTAAAACAAATGGCCACGCTTCTAATGACACAAATAAAACTGAAAGCAGTAACTTTGTCAAGATGGAATTTGGTTTCTTATGTTAGCTCACCAAAAGAGGACCATAAACAATCCGAAATATCAGAAGTACAAAATAACAACAACATATTTTATCTAAGAGTACGGTGAAATTTGACACAGAACAGTGTTTATTTGGTAAATAATTTCATTTTTACATTTAAAGACTATCTCCTTAATCAGGCACAGATAGCCTTCAGTCTGTAGACAATGTGCCAAATGACAAAGACTAGACACGCTGCAGAAATACAACTTTCAAGCTCTACACAGCAGAGCTTATCTGTGTTACAAAAATATCCCACAGTGTCTGACGTCACAGGTACTAAAAATATATGATGCTTAACGTAATTGAACATTTATTTTTTCTCACAATAGCTTATTGTTTATGCTGCATACAGGCTCAAGTGCAACTCAAGCCTATTCAAGCCAAGTCAAATGTCCTTCTTCTAAGACTTGTTGTTGCTGTCAGTGACATAATGGAGTTGTTCTTCAGCCAGTGAGTCCTGCCATTGTTTCCCCTGACAAAACCGCTGTTACTAAGTCATTTTAATAATAATAATAATTCAATATTTCAGGTTGCATAAGTGCAGTGTTTTCATTCAGCACTTACATCATTCTAGAAGAAAATAGCCTTTTGTTTTCAAAGTTTCATACAAGTGAGTTTTCCTCAGTTTTGGGCAATGACCGGTCACAGGAACGGCTTTTATATTTCAGAAGGGACTCACTGACTTCAGCACACTCATAAAACTTGTTAAAAAAAAATCTGAAACCATTTTTCCTAACACAAACACGAGATGGTGATAACAGTGTTTGGATGAATACCTTTCTGGTTCTGTCACCAGCTATGTTGTGATAAATAAACCTTGTTTTGTAGCGTGTGGTTGTTGCTCTCCTTCCCATAGTTACATTTTGTCATTTCTATACATAATTAATACCAGTTGATCATTTGTTTGAACTATAAAGTAATCAAACAAAATGTGGGTTATTAGCTTGCATTATCTTTTAATGCATCACATTACTCCTGGTCACAAAAGCTTGCCTCTACTTTTTCCCTCTTCTCTTCAACCCTGCAATTATTCGGCATTAGGAGAAAAGACTGTATAGTGAATTAAAAATAATCCACAACAACGACAACATGCTTCCCTTTTCAGTCTTACCGGGGATGAGGTGATCATCTTTAAACAACGAAGGAAACATTTATTTTTATTGTTGGCATGTTATATTATTTTGTTTATATTTATCATGTAACACTTGGTGAAGATGACAAGCTGCACGGGGGTGTATAAGTAGGGTCTGGTATTGTGCAACCGCTTGGTAAACATCCAGCTAAACTCCATCCAACGACAGGAAAATAATATTTTTTTAAGATTGCCTTTAGAATTTCTTGTGTATTAATGGCAACTGCAAAGAGGATATTGAGACATGTAAATTGTCATTATAAACACCAATTTTAAAGCTGGACTCCAATGCTTGTGTTTTGCACTTTCATTACGTTGGGGGACTCAAAAGAGACTACAAGATCGAAGCAGGAGAGACAGAAATATCCTGACTTTAACTTTCTTTAGTTCAAAACACTGGATCCTATACTTTCCACAATGCAACTTCCATGAGAATGTTTCTGTCTGGTATCATATTCAGACTTTACACGTCAAGACTGCAACACAGTCCTAGATGACAGTATGAAGTCTCTATATCCAAGCCAATATATCCCTGAGGATATCACTGTTTCCTAATTTTCATTAAGTTATGTGAACTCTAAACCGGGGGAATAGTCCTTTATTTGTTACTTTGGTTAACTTTAAACTTTTTAAAATGTAAAAATGTGACGTTTTGCTATTCAAGCAGAAATCTTGCCTACTGATATTTTTGAACTTATAGATTTCAAGCATGTTTAACAAATGAAAACAGTCTATTGATGTGACAAATCTCTTCAAGACTGACGATTATTTCACAATCCACACATGGCTGCAATTTGTTTCTTACAAATATGTTCATATTCCAGAGATTTCATTGAAATTATCACAAGGATAGTTGTAGAGTGAAGCCGATAGATACATGTCTACTATTATTTGTACTGGACCCTTCCTCACAATAACATCAAAGCAGAATAAACAGCCAAAAAGGCTCTGTTGTGTTTTTCCCATGTAACCTCTTTTGTTCTTGGAATAAGAAACTGATGAGGTGAGTTATTAACTAAAAACACATTTTCATGCTCTCAGTGATATACAAACTCTGGCAGGAGAGGAGAGATACCCTGTCCAAGAGGGGGGAAAAGGAGAAAGAGACGAGGAGAAGGCATAGATGGTCTGCTATGTTAGGCAAGATGGATTGTTGTTTATAAGGTTGGTTTCTTTGTGTACGTATATTTCAACGCAGCACATTCTCACATCTGGAGCAGTCATCGCTACAATAAAGCCTTTCGAAATGTTTGTGTAAGATGTGTTAGACTCTCAAAATGAGGGCCAACTGTTAAGCCTGGATAAAAACCCTGTGGAGGCTCAGGCATCACATTTGGCTCAGGAATAAATAGGCCTGAATCAACACTCCTCATTAATCAGTGCCAAAGAGTTCACTGCGGACCGGACCTATTCATTAGTTGTTTGTGATGGGACAATTGAACTGTAACACACTTATCATGTAATCCTGGAAAGGGCTTGAATAATGTGGATGGCATCTGAAAACGAGGACATTATTTGTTACAGATCATAACCGTTGTTGTTGTTGTTTCATCCCGTGAAACAACAGATCTCACTGTGGTCTGTCTTTAATGGCTTACAGTCACTACGAGCATGTGTTGTGAACACTAAACTGAGAGTAGGTGACCAATCTTTTAATGACATGTATGCTTTTGTTGTCCATGTTCATTTTGGCCTGACTCCAATCTTTGTCTAAATTAAAGGATCAAGGCCAACTTAATTAATTAGAGTGCGAGGGTGTAAAAAACGAGTTTTCTTTATAGATTTCGGAAATATTTTCATGAACTATAAACTCAGGGGTTATGCTGGGCGCCTTAATCAGTTATGAAAGCAAAACATCTATCAAACTTAATTAACTTAACACAGCTTGGCTCCCTTTGAATCAAAAGACCGCCTGATTGATTTGCAATGCTTCAGTTCCTCTCAAACACAGTATGCATTAGAGACCTGTTGCAGCACATTAAACATTAATGTATTCATATTTTGGAATCAGTTCAACTCAGCCGCTTCCTAATACAGTGTGGTTACCACAAAGTAGAAAGTAAAGCTGTTGGGAAATCCTTTAAAGGGGCCCCATTAGGCTCATTTTCAGGTTCTTGTATGTAGTGCCTCTTCTGTGACATGTCTCCATGATTTCATGTTCAAAAAGCTCGTTATTTTTTCTCATACTGCCTGTGCTGCAGCACCTCTTTTCACCCTCTGTCTGAAACCAGAGTCCAGTCTGCTCTGATTGGTTAGCTGGCCAGCTCTGTTCTGATTGGTCAACCGTTAAGAGATGTCCCGCCCCATAGCCTTCCATGTGTTGGAGCGCTAGCCAATAGCAGCACCAGTGTTACATAGTGATGTCACTAAGTAAACTAAGTAGTCAAATGGAGGCGTTTCAGGCAGTGGGGGGGGGGGCGACGACGACGACACACACACAGGGATTTTAGGAAAGGGAAAACTCCAAAAAGCACAATGGGCCTCTTTAACACTTAATATAAACACACACACACACACACACACACACACACACACACACACACACACACACACACACACACACACACACACACACACACACACACACACACACACACACACACACACACACACAAACCACACACAGAGAGAGAGAGCTGACCGACTGCATGATGATTGATAACTACTGACTGCCCCCAGCTGTTACAATAGTTGGAGCCAAGACTAAGCATGCATAGCTGAATTGGCCCATGAGACAAATTCAAACACAACAGAATGCAGCATGTTTGCTGAAAAGCAGTCTTGTTTTAAATCTGGACACTGGATACTCATCATTAGATGACCTGCATGGAAAAAGGGCAACGAGAACATTTTAATTTAAGTTGGCAGCAATAAAGTAGAACAGACCGTTCTCACCCCTTTTGACGTGATTATCCGCTTTGAACTAGAGAGGCTGTTATAGACTGCCAGGCCCACCAGCTTACACAGAAATATGACAGCCTTTTTGTGAGAGTAATGAAGGCGTACAAGGGGAGTGCGTCCGTTTCAAAATATTGTTTCATGCCTTTAGTGAGAGAGCGAGAGCTGTCTGGCGCTAAGTGTGAAAGAAACACAATGAGTCATTGTGAAGGGGAGGGGACAGGGAGAGCACGTATGGAGGTCACAGAGAATGGAAGCAATATTAATCTGAAGCCCACTCAGTCTACACAAATCTGCAGTTGCACTCTAGCTGAGTCATGGGAGCCGCATGTGATAATTTCACACCTGTTGACCAAACAGGCCTCCAGACAGACTGCACACTGTGCTGCTCGGGAAAAGGACTCATAATAATCATGCTTACATCATTATTTCCATGACATTGTCTCGTATGATTTAACGTATAGCTAAAATGACAATGTGTAAAAGGGTTAAAGTTGTAAAACAAAAACAACAGCACCAAAATCAGGCACACAGTGGTAGCCACATATCAAACACAAGATACTCTGCCGTAAGATATACACTAATCTTTAGTGTATTTTGTGTCTGTTGATTCTGTATATATAGGTATATACATATTTTTATATATTTGTATTTTTGTATTCGGGATTGTGGGAAATGTTATTTCGAGTTTTCGAGTTCCTTTTACACAAACTGAAATATTGACAATAAAGTTGACTTTGACTTATATTTTCTTAAACGGGGACAATAATTTGCAAAAATTGTAATCATATATTGTATTGAAGAGGACTTAACATAAGCCATTGATTCAATAAACTCATAAATATATATTGAGGTAATAAATCAAGTGAGAAGTCATGTTATTTTCTCATAGACTTCTATGCAAACACGTCTCTTTCTGCACCTATTCCCTTCTAGAAATGATAGAGGTTTAGGGTTGATATTGGGAAAATATTATGTGTGTTTGTGTTTGAGTTTGGTGGGTGTGGGAGGTGAAGAAGGTTTGAACTGCTGCTTTTGATTTTCATGCCTCTGATAACATTTCATCTCCAGCTGGAAAACAGTTTATCCGGCCATCCGGAGTTAGAACCGCTCTGCTGCCGACCATAAATGAATCAGCAAATAGCTTTGAAGCTACGCCTTCAAAGACAACTCTGAGCTCTATAAGCCATGTCTTAAATGATGACTGTGTTTGACTTCAATTATTCCACTATATATAGACACCATAAAGCAATCACACAACAATTTTGACTTGTGTAAAAACACTGAATAACTTTATGGGTTAAAATTGTAAGCAGATGTACAGAGTGCATTCAGCTATATCGAATATGACCACTTTAAAAAAGAAATATTTCTGGTATGTGGATTGGTAGAAAGTCATTAGTGTATAATAACAAACCAAATCCTGTGGCTGCATAAAAATAGCTAAACAATGTCTTCATTTTCACATCAGAAGGATTAGGAAAAGGCTGTTTTCTCGCTCAAAAACAAGCAGCTTCGGCACAGCCCTGTATTGGCTGACAGATCAAACCCTAATAAAATGACTCTGGATGCAAAGAAATGTAAATGTATATACAAATAGCATTCAAAAAACCATACATTTTAAATAAGTTGACAAAGCTCTGTTTGTATTAACAATAAATATGTTGATAATCATATAACAGCCTTAGAAAACCTTTACATTTTGAACAGATGCCCAAAGGTCCTCAATCATCCAAAAGATTCACACTGAGGGCGTCTCCTGCTCTAAACTCTGATCTCTATACTCCACAAAACATAAACACATTTTAATCAAGAAAGGTGTCAGAACTATCTGCCAGTTGTGTTTTGTAACTTTAAAATATGTGTGATGGTTAAAAACAGGAAAAACAATATTATAATTTTGAAATTCCACTTGTAATACAGGAATGACGCAGGACATCCAAGTTCAACATGTATGAATAAAGTATTTACTGTATGATATCCATGTAGCTATTGGTCGATACAAAGAGTGTCACGGGAGTGAAACAACCTTCAGGGTGAGCATACGTCTTCTGTCTGCTTGGGATTTAAGAAAGTCACCATCTCCCGAATGCCGTCTTCACAGATTGTCGTCTGAGGAGCTGTACTCAGATGTTCTCCCTCCTCTTTAAACTTGTTCCACGTCTCTGAAAAACAAACCGGAATTCACATTAATCTGTCACACCAAAATAGGTCGTTTTGCGAAATAAAAAAAGGCATAGAACAAACCTTCATTAAGTGTTGTCAGTAATGTGTAATTTCCTGGATTATCCACAATATTTTTTCTTTCAACGTCACCAATATCCATTAGTTCTAAAACACCTAAAGGAAGAATTCAGATGAGAAACATTTAAAAGTGTTACATTTCTTAGAAGAAAGACATGGACAGCAACGTGGGAGTAACCAATATTCACAAGGTTGCTTTGTTGTCTATTCGACTCTAAATGGGACCATCATTTCTTAAACAAACACCATGCTCTATTGAAAAATACTTGAATTAGCAAAAGAGACTACAAACTCATCAGGAAATGGTTAACGGAGATGATAACTAAAGTGAGAAGTTGGGTCATTTTCTCATAGACTTCTATACAATCAGACTTCTTATATGCAAACATTGCAACGCCCCCTGCTGGCTATCAGGGAAAAAAGGCAGGTTCAAGGCATCTTCACATAGGCTTGACTTTTTTTCATCTTTCTATGAGAAAGACTGCCTGCTGGCTTCATAGTGGTCAGAGATGCTCTCTCATCCAACAAAAGTTTAAAACTATTCCTTCTATATTGTTCCCATTAACAGTTACAGTACCTTCTACAGTCTTCCATACTTGCACTTCGACCTCAGCAGTACTTTGTTTTTCAACAGCAATGATCCTGACCGTGTCGGGTGGGTCCACTCTAATCGATGAGTCCACTTTATACACTAAGACATTGCTTTTATGTCCAGTATAACACTGGGTCTGGTTACGTTCAGTTTTACGTTCTAAAGCAACAAAAACAGACACAAGTTATGTTGACGGTGTTCTAATCAACTTCATGTCAATGTAAACACCTCATTATGTTATGAGTCGTGTTTGTTTACCTGGACAAGTCTTGCAGCACTTTCCCACTGATTTTATAGGAAGTTGGCATGGGTACTGGCTGGGACAAGTGATGCGTTTGCAGTCCTGGAGGCCATCAGTACAAGTGCACAGGATGCATTCCAGGACCTTACCCAAAACTGGGTGCCACATGTCTCCATGAGAGTACGTCTTGCCATTGTAGGAACACGCTGAGAGAAATGGGAAACAGCTGAGGGTTGCACTGCATATGGAAGCGATCGTAAAGTTGTAAGGAACATGACTATAAAATCAAATACGTATACTGGATCGTTTTGTTAGGATCAAGTCTCACCTCTATGGTGTTTCCTCTGCAACAAAATCTTCACGGTGGTCTCTGAAGCCCCTTTAAGGTTGAGTCTAGCGAAGCCTCTGAGAACAGCCCTGACCCTGGGGGGAGTGGCACGGTCGAACCGCACCCTGCCAGGCTCTCCAGAACACTGATCCACTGAATGCCTCTTTTATTAAAATAGATAGAACAAAACACGGTTATCTTTCATCTACTCAGCCCTTGGCTTTCCTGGCTTTCTCCATGAGTGATAGCTAAAGGAGCATCACATTTAGTTCATTAATCATAAAAGTTTATATCCTGGCTCCATATCTCAGATTTGTTTCAGCACTTTGAATAGAACACGATGTAATTCAACCTTTTTATCAGGCCAAGGGGATCTTAAGGGGAAATCTTTTTAACAGCCTTCTCTTCAAAAATCACAGCAAAATTGATTATTCAGAAAGGATTTGACTAATTGTATCCCCCCCCCCCACACACACACACATTGCCCACAGAGGTCATAGGTCAGTGTGAGCATGCAGGTACCTCAGTGTTGTGTTTAAGGACACTTCAATTAAGGACACTACATTTCAATTTATTTAAAAAAATAGGCATATTTCAAATGAAAGCCTTGGCAAAGACATGTTAGTTTTATGATAAATCAGCTAGAACATACAACGCCTCTGTTCAGTTGCTGGTTTCCCTCCTCAGTTGATGAGGACCCACTTGTGCCAGTATCTAAAAGACCAAGGAGAAAAGAAACAAGTGTGAGGAATTTATAATTAACATTGAATAGATTTCAATTCAGTTGCTAATTGTCATCGTAACAATATGATCCCATCAAGGAGTTTCTTTGTGTTGTAATTTACAGTGGAACAAACTGCATTACTTAGAACATCGTTTTCGATAAGTGGTTGTTGAAATTTCTTTTTTATTATTATTCAGACATATGCATAGGCTAAAACATTTGTTTGTAAAGGTTGGATAAAGAGTAAACCAGTGTGTGAGCTTAGATGAGTTTGAGTACCTTTGCACACCAAACAGCAGGTGTCTGGGACTGAGACTGCAGAGGAACAGGTGATTGGTTGGCATGTTTTCAGACCGCAGAAGATATTTCCATTCTGAGAAAGAAAATGTCGAACTTTTTATATTATATGAGTCCAGAGGCCAAGTCTAAAGTACTGCAAGGTTTCTTCAGGCCTCTCTTGACCTAGTGTCTTAGAGATCCAATTTTTTTTTAAAAACAACTTAGCAAAGACATAATGAGACATTATACTGTATGTATTTATCTTTTCATGGAAATTGATTAAAACGTAATTTCTCTGCACAAGCAAGTTCTATCAAAAAAAAAGAGAAAATCACAGTCATACGAAAAGCTGTGAGGATGTTCCATTACAAGCAAACCTAAAGACAAACTGCAGAGATTAAAACAATTACATATACACCAATAGATCTATGGCAGGAAAGCATTAGGATAATGGTGATTTGCGGGGAGTCTTTTTGCTAATTATAGTGTTAAGACTTGTCTCCTTGGAAACATCTGTTAACAAACACCACTTAACAACTCAAATTAACTCCTCTCATCATGGGGCTTTTAATGGGGAAACCCCACAGTGAAGCTCATTTACTTATTCTTTCTGATGTTGGCTCTCTAAATTAAAATAGGCATGCATTTTCTTTTGTCACACCAAGCTTCGCCAACACATGAACCAAAGCAAGATGCCATTACTTGCTACAATATACATTTAATTATACATGTATACTTTCACTGCATAGCAAAGCAGTTATGAGTAGGTAGAGATGCTATCCAGGCATATATGCAAAACGTTTTGAAAAGTCTAAAATATTTCAATGCTTTATATATGAGAAGTTTTAGAATTAGTTAAATAACCATTTCATAAAAGCAAACTTAAAGGCTGTGGTGGAAAACATTGGATATGCTGTTGAAGAGGGAAAACCACAATTGCTAATTAAAAGAGGATTTGGGAGACTACATATTAACTATTAAATGGGAATTAATTGTATTGCTAAAATAGGGATATTAAATATTAAAATTCTGTCAATTTCTTTGTTTGTTTTTTGGTCCATAAAACACACCATAACTTTGCTCTGAAAATTAGTATAGTGAATGTTTCACAAATTAGGCAACATGCTTGATTAAAACTTGGATTTCGTAACAAAAAAAGACCTTAAATGTCTTGAATACCGCATGCATTTATATCAATAGATAAAAACAAGTAGTACATTAGATGCAACTCACAGAACATGTGCACACGACACACTGGTTGCTCTGCTTGGAAGGGAAGAGGTCGAGCTTGGTGAAGGTCTCCCCCGGCTGATAAACACTCCCGTTGTACCTGCAGGACTTCACTGAAGCTCTCAGCCCTGCAGGGGTCCTGGGCTCATCTGAGGAGGACACACCACACAGGACAGCAGGCCTTAAAGTCACCAGCAGAACTCTAAAGCTCAGATCTGATAGGTTCATTAGAGGACGTCTACCTGTGCATCTGGGACAGCACTGCTGAGGCTCAGCTACTGGGTGTTCGCAGGGCAGAGCAGGGCACTTGATCGTTTTACATTTCACATGGCCTGTCTAAGAGAGAGCAATATAAGAGTTCAAAAGCACATTTAAATCACATACACAGAGTTCTTCACAGCTTTAGTGCAGTATATTATGCGGTGGAAGTCTTTAAAAAAAAATCATAACACATTTGTTCAATCTAGCCTTTTAGGAAGCAAACTCTCTGCGGCACTTTCTCACTGGATTTTAACCTGTCACCTGATTGTGTGTTGAATTTGCACTATCCTCCTTTTAATGCACAATTTAATCGTTATACCTTTAATCTACATTTATTTTTTACTCTCTGCAATTTTTTGTTTGTTTGTATGTCTTTTACTGGTAACTGTATTCTGTATGCTATCAATATTCTGTGAAATGACTATGTGAAGCACTTTGAACTGCACATATTGTATGAAAGGTGCTATACAAATGAAGATTATTATTACAGTGGGGAAAAAAAGTATTTAGTCAGCCACCTATTGTGCAAGTTCTCCCACTTAAAAAGATGAGAGAGGCCTGTAATTTTCATCCTAGGTACACTTCAACTATGAGAGTCAGAATGGGGGGAAAGAATCCAGGAAATCACATTTTTAATAAATTAATTGGTAAATTCCTCGGTAAAATAAGTATTTGGTCACCTACAAACAAACAAGATTTCTGGCTCTCACAGACCTGTAACTTCTTCTTTAAGAGCCTCCTCTGTCCTCCACTTGTTAACTGTATTAGTGGCACCTGTTTGAACTCGTTATCAGTATAAAAGACACCTGTCCACAACCTCAAACAGTCACACTCCAAACTCAACTATGGCCAAGACCAAAGAGCTGTCAAAGGACACCAGAAACAAAATTGTAGACCTGCACCAGGCTGGGAAGACTGAATCTGCAATAGGTAAGCAGCTTGGTGTGAAGAAATCAACTGTGGGAGCAATTATTAGAAAATGGAAGACATACAAGACCACTGATAATCTCCCTCGATCTGGGGCTCCACGCAAGATCTCACCCCGTGGGGTCAAAATGATCATAAGAACGGTGAGCAAAAATCCCAGAACCACATGGGGGGACCTAGCCAATGACCTGCAGAGAGCTGGGACCAAAGTAACAAAGGCTACCATCAGTAACACACTACGCTGCCAGGGGCTCAAATCCTGAGTGCCAGACGTGTCCCCCTGCTTAAGCCAGTACATGTCCAGGCCCGTCTGAAGTTTGCTAGAGAGCATTTAGATGATCCAGAAGAGGATTGGGAGAATGTCATATGGTCAGATGAAACCAAAATAGAACTTTTTGCTAAAAACTCAACTAGACATGTTTGGAGGAGAAAGAATGCTGAGTTGCATCCAAAGAACACCATACCTACTGTGAAACATGGGGGTGGAAACATCATGCTTTGGGGCTGTTTTTCTGCAAAGGGACCAGGACGACTGATCCGTGTAAAGGAAAGAATGAATGGGGCCATGTATCATTAGATTTTGAGTGACAACCTCCTTCCATCAGCAAGGGCATTGAAGATGAAACGTGGCTGGGTCTTTCAGCATGACAATGATCCCAAACACACCGCCCGGGCAACGAAGGAGTGGCTTCGTAAGAAACATTTCAATGTCCTGGAGTGGCCTAGCCAGTCTCCAGATCTCAACCCCATAGAAAATCTTTGGAGGGAGTTGAAAGTCCGTGTTGCCCAGTGACAGCCCCAAAACATCACTGCTCTAGAGGAGATCTGCATGGAGGAATAGGTCAAAATACCAGCGACAGTGTGTGAAAACCTTGTGAAGACTTACATAACACGTTTGACCTCTGTCATTGCCAACAAAGGGTATATAACAAAGTATTGAGATGAAATTTTGTTATTGAACAAATACTTATTTTCCACCATCATTTGCAAATAAATTCTTTAAAAATCAGACAATGTGATTTTCTGGATTGTTTTTTTTCTCATTTTGTCTCTCATAGTTGAGGTATACCTAGGATGAAAATTACAGGCCTTTTTCATCTTTTTAAGTGGGAGAACTTGCACAATTGGTGGCTGACTAAATACTTTTTTGCCCCACTGTATATGTAGATGTTTGTAAAGGAGTGATATGTAACTGTACAAAGATACCTCTGAGCAGACACAGCGCATGCAGTACATGAATCCAAAGGGCTCCAGATAGGGATGCCAGCTGTCTCCTGGGCTGTATGTCTTGTCTTTGAAAGTGCATACCACCCGAGAACCTGGGTGCCAAAAATGAGCAGGATGAGCTCCATGTGGCAGAAGTGAACATAAAATCAAAAGCACTTCGATGTTAACTATCACAATATTTGTCAAATCCATTTAGTGAAACCCACAATCAGCTCAAAGTGGAAAACATGGGCCATGATCCCATTTATCCCATTAAATAAGAACCCACAGTGACACAGGTGTTACAGGACATTTAAATGTTCTGGAAAGTTCCTTATACAGCTTTAGCCTTGTTTTTATCTCATGAAGTACCCAAGTGACACACCCTGAACAGTCTGGTGGGTCATGGGCCAGGTCATTTGATTTTGTGTTCCCATAACAACATGTCCAAGATGTCCATGTGCCAGACTAATACATGTGACAGAACTAGCTACATTTCAAAAGCTTGTTTTTTGTTGCTAAAGGTCAAATTCAAGCCATTTAATAATTAAAATGCTTACATAACATGTCCTTTATTACATTTAACCTGTTGTGGAAACTCGTTTTGATCAAATTGATATCAAACAAATGAGATAAATATCGCTGTGACACTAATGTCACATCGGGACATTAAACTTAAACTTTCACAGTAAATCTGGAGTGACACATATGTCACAATAATAAATATGATTATGATCTGCTCCGTTAATTTGGCTGGTTCAATGATATTTAGTTAATATATTTTTTATTCTTCAATTCAAAGAATGTTCAAACTAGTTTAAACAAAAAAATCATCCTCATTAATTAAGTTATAAGTAAGAGTTACTTTACTAACGCCCAATGAAAATGTTACTTGTCAGAAATGTTTTCTATGTGGTCTATTTAGTCTACATTATGTTCCCCTTAATTTTCACAAAAGTAGAAATGGGTGCGGGTTCTTATGGGTTAAGATAAACACAAGTTAAATTGTTAGTAGCTTCAGTGACAGTATTATATGCACACGTTTTACAACAGAACACCAAAGTAATGTTCAGGGCCATAGAGCAAAATATTCTAAATACAAGTTCAGTTTTGGCTGAGTCAGACCAAACTTTCCTTATCTGAGTCACATTAACATGCTTTTCCTTATGTTAAACCCCTCTTAAGTTTGACCAGGACAGAGTATCAGCTGGGACTTACCTTTCCGGGTTTTCAGCTCTGCATCTGCAAACCAAATGATGAAAAAGAAGAAAAACGTGGACTTCATCTTTTACATGTGCGTGTCTGGGTCTTCACCGCGCAATAAGTCTGTTTGTGCAGGACAGAAACTACAGGACAGTGTGAGAGAAGGTTACAAAAAAACAACTAACTTTTTGGGCTCTTAGTTGATCTCTGGCGCCTCCTGCAGGAGATAACTGGTAGCGCCAGCTCTGCCACAGGGATAACTGAAGAGTGACCACATGAGCCTAAAATAGATCAGATTGAGTCATAAATAAACACATTTTACGATATTTCACTCCAGCATGAGAAGCTATTTCAGACTTTACAATAAGAATAAATTAATCCTCAATATCTAATTTAGTATAGTAAAAGTATACACATGTTGGCTGCTTAATCTACTTAAAACATCCATGGTAAAAAAATATTATTAAAAATGCATGTTATTGGTTTAATCCTTACCAATGTATTTTAATTCGGGAGCTATTTACTGTATATTTCTCAAATAAAACTATTTCTGAAATGTAGTAGTTGAAAGGCCTCGAGTACAGTTAACATATTATTATTAAATGTCAATTAATTGAGTTCCATTGAACCAGTGCCAAATATAGCTCATAAATGCACACTACTCTTAGATGCAAAGATTAGGCTAGGCAGAAATGAGGGCAACATAAAGACAAAGTTCTTATATCGTTCTCCATTTAATTACACACGAGGGGAATAAAACAGTGCAACCATGTTAAAATAGACAACAAGATGCCAAGGAACTAACTTTAAGATATCAAACAAAACAGATGTGACCAATGTTCCCACGATGAGTCTGGTACCTCTGCTCCCTGCTGTGATGCCTATTGCAAGCCGTCACCTGGCTTCATAAGAAAACATTTAGTTTGGAGTAACAGCTTAATTCAGTCAGTGCAGATGCATCAAGACAAAGAACATCTCGGGCGAAATCACAAATGTCTAAAATCCACAAAATATTGGATTTTCTTAAAAGGAGATTCCTCTTGAAATGGAAGAAATGGCATGCGAATGTCCAAATTTACAAAGTTCTGAAACAGGTGAAAAAATAAAAGGGCATTCCTATTTCCCTTTTAAAAGCTGCACTGGATTTTGGGAACACTGACTGCAGCCATGCTTTGTCTAAAATTTAGCATTTAAAACTACATCCGGCCTGGCCATAGCTTAACATTGTAAATACTTTATTGATAAAAATGTCACTTGGGACTGTAGATGCAAATCTGCATCAAACATACCACAAACATTGTTTTAAAATGAAATCCTGTTTTGTCAAAGATTTATCGGATCCTATTGTGTGAGAGAAGCTTGACAACTGCGAGAAAGTGCCAAACAAACATTAAAGACCTAAAAAAAATCCAGCTCCTGGATTGAGACTCACCTGAGCATCCTCCCCTAAACACAATCTCATGATTTCAACACATTCAGAGGGACATACCGCCTGTAATATAAGTTATACTTTTAAATGTCTGAATTACAAGGTATTGCATTATAGAATGAATCAGAATGGTCACAGACACACTAATGCCCGCCNTTTATAATATCTTTTTAATGGAAAGTAGGCCCTGTCTCACAGAGCCAATATGCCAGAGTGGTATTTCTTTTCTGTCCTTCACTTCACACACAGCTCTGTGTATTGGCTCTGTGAGACAGGGCCTACTTTCCATTAAAAAGATATTATAAAAAAACCCTATTATGTGAGTCATGGAAAAGCTGGCAGAATTAAATACAATTAATCTGCTTCAGTTTTTCGAGGACAAATAAGTATCTAACAACATGATGCTGCATCCAGTCTGCTTTTTAAATCTATTATTGCAGAATTTACTTTATATTGATGTTTTGAAGCATAGTAGGCTACAATATCTTCTATCACAATGCCTTTGTGGTTGCAGTTAAGAGTGTACACAGTTATTCAACTGATAATGATGACAATGATAAACAGTACAAGTACGATTTCATAACACAACAACTTGTCTTAAGCGTTACTTACTGTACAGAGAGAGGCCGCAAACTGCAATGCATGTATATAAAGTTNAAAAACCAATACAAAAATAAATAAAATAAATGATACATTTAAATAAATAACGCTCCAAAATATTTGTTGATCTTGTTTATTGGTATTTATTATTTTGATATTATTTATTTAAATGTATCATTTATTTTATTTATTTTTGTATTGGTTTTTCAGTTGAATCACACGTTCAGGGTAATCAATAGTTAAAAATATACTGTTCAAATTATTATTTGTATTTGTTTTAAAGTTCAATAAATGGACGTTTTCAAAGTCAATGAATAATCGTATTTAATAATCGTGATATCAATTATTGACCAAAAATAATGGTAATTAGGATTTTTGCCATAATCGCACAGCCCTAGTGTACACTCTTAACTGCAACCACAAAGGCGTTGTGATAGAAGATATTGTAGCCTACTATGCTTCAAAACATCAATATAAAGTACATTCTGCAATAATAGATTTAAAAAGCAGACATCATGTTGTTAGATACTTATTTGTTCTCGAAACACTGAAGCACATTAATTGTATTTAATTCTGCCAGCTTTTCCATGACTCACATAATAGGGGTTTTTTGTAATATATTTTAAATGGAAAGTAGGCCCTGTCTCACAAAGCCAATACACAGAGCTGTGTGTGAAGTGAAGGACAGAAAAGAAATCCCACTCTGGCAAGACTTGATCAATTATCTTCTTGTGCTTTTGACATTTTTTCCAGAATAAATAAGCAAAACTGAGAGCAGAGTGGATTCATTTGGGCAAATGTAAATCAAACTAAACAGGTAAACAGTAACACTATTAACAAATGTA